TATATATATATATTAGAGTATCTCATTAAATTTGGTGCAAATATATAGAAAATAGGTTTTAAAACATACTGGTCACTTTCTGACCATTCTAGGCCCTCTCTCAAGGCTCATTTTTGTGAAAAAATTTTCAATTTTTTAGTCAAAAATTACTGATTTTTGTGAGGGAGGGTCTAATATAAACCAAGTTGGCTAAATTTAAAAAAAAGGGCCTTAATTACATATATTTTGCATTTAAAATAATACGTACTTTTGTTTTGGTTTTACTATCGAGTATTGTTTTGTTTTGGTTTTTGGAGCATTGTTTTGTTTTGGTTTTACTATCGAGCATTTTTTATTCAGATTATCCATAAACTTACAAAATTGGTTAGTTTGTTGTGATACTAAGAAAACATTTGGAGTATACAAATACATTTTTTTTAATATAACAGGACCATTGAACTGGCCTTTAAAATAAAGGGGGGGAGGAGGACATTTTTCAATTTTATGAAAAAAAAGGAGGAAGAGGGGCATGCCCCTGTAATAAAAATATATTTTGGTTGATAATATTGTAAACTGCTTGTTACTTCAATTAGTAATGTATATTCTGATTGCCCCTGGGTCCCTACTCATTTTTTTACTAATTAAAAATTGATTTAAGTTTTTATGTTATTAAGTTACTCACAACAATCATGATAAAAACTAGGTTTTCTATTTACCTTACAAAAAAGCCTAATAAAAAAAAAAAGAAAAAGTTTTTTAATCACTTTTAAATTTCCTGAAATTATTAATGTTATTTAAACCTATTTCCATATTCCTTTTTGTCATCTTTTTTCAGGAGCTCGGAGCTTTGGAGCTTTTTTCATGTTTTTTCATAGTATAACGAACTTTGTCTATGGTTACCAGTCTCATTTGTTTTTCTTCTTCACTAATGTATCTATAGATAAACTCCTGCATCATGCCTAAATTTTTTTCTGCATGATCATTTACTATAATAAAAGTTTTTGCATAGGCTAGAAACTGGTTGTAATATGATTGAGTGTGCCAAAAAAATAGTGGAAGTGACAACCAATCGCATATTCTTCCTTCTGTAAACTCATTTACTGCAAAAATAAAGTAGGAAAACTCATTAACTAACACCACCAAATTTGGTGAATTACTAGCCATTGTGCTATCTAGGTTGATTATCTCTTTGATATCCACTTTCGCCTTATTTTCAATTTTGTAATAAGATGCCTTTAAAGATGGCATTTTGTAAGATAAAATTGATTTGGCGATTAGTGTTTTATCTTCATCAGGAACTTTATAATCTACATACGAAAGAGCTATCAAAGTTGAGTCTAAGTACAAAGAGTGTTTTAATATTAAGTCAATGACTTTATCTATAGCTTCTTTTACTTGGCAAACATCTTTATACAGAGTCATTTGATGTAGAGCTGTAATATCAAGGTATGGGGCTTTAATAGGATTGTGGTTTTGCAAGTACCATGGAGCAAAAAAACAACAAATAAACTCCACAATTTGTTCTACTTGAGCTTTTATGTCTTCTTCTTTTATCAAAAAATCTAGTTGTTTAGATAGCAGATGTAACTTCAGTTGTTTCGATAGCAGATTTTCGGAGCAGATAGCAGATGTAACTTTGTATAATAAAGAGCTGAGCTAAGAAATCTTGCATGATGAACTGCACCTGATTTTTTTATTTGAAAACAACCTGATTTCGATAAATAAATAATTACAGGCTCTGCTAGTTCTTTTCTGCCTTCCCGAGCAATATTTTTCTTTTTAATGTATTTTTTGCAATTGGAGTACAGTTATTGCTGCTTTTTTGACTACAGTACCAGCTTTTAATGACCAATTAAACCTTAATGTTTTTAGGATTGTAATGAAACTCTTGATTGTCATACTTAATTTTTAATATTTTAAAAAAAAGATTTTTTGGTTCTACCTTTTCTTTATGAGTAACATGTTTCTGAAAATGACTTATTCTAAGCCCTGTAACATGATGCCTGCAAACAAGCTGAAAAATGTATTTACCTAAATCATAGGTATTTCTATTAACAGTCCTTTTCATAATGCCAATATTTGTTGCTGTTGTGTCAAAACACAATCCACCAACATTTAATTTAATACCATATTCATCTAGCAACTGCATTATCCTTTATATTGATCTTCTCCTGAAGAGGATGGTAAAGAAGGCACACCCAACAAGTGTGATTTGCCATTAATATTTACTAGTCACTTGCATTTTAGTTTCTTTCCTTTAATTGTCTCTAATATAATTTTTCCATCAAAATGAATTGTGGGAATGTAGATAAATGTACTTTTATTTTGATATCTTCTTAAACAATATTTGAAATTTACTTATTTTCTCTTTTTATTCTTCTAGCTGCAGTTTATGTCATCATGTCTACTCCTGCAACCTGAACAACTTTCTCAACAAATTCTCTGCAGAACCATATGAGAGATGTTATTAACAGTTGCCATTAAAGCAACATTTCTGGAATAAATATCTTTAGGAATGTTGGACCAAAGTTTTGTACTGCTTGGTTTTTGTTTTTGTTTTTTTTTGTTTATTCGCTTGGCTTGAAGTCAGAATCAGATAAGTTAACTGAACTTAGTTCATCATTACTTATAACATCTTCGTAAAATTTTAAGATTTTACTCAGTGATCCATTTTTCATTGCATTTTTGCTCTTGTTTATATTTAATGATTTTACCTTATATAAAAATAAATTTATTAGTTATAGGTTGTTAGAGTGACAAAAACATAAAGTTAGAGCGTATTTAATAAACTTATTAAACTATAAAGAGTATATTATTTAAAAACTAAATTTGTGTATGAGAATCAACATTGCATAAGTCCAAAAACAAAATAAAGTTAGTTAAATCAATTATTTATATACTAATGCTTCACTCAATATAGTAAAGTAACTCAATAGTTCATCTACCTTGAGAGGATCATTTAATTAAGATCTGACACAAAATTACCTAAACATTTAAAATAATAGAATTTACACTATGCAAACTCTCACAACCAAAACATAATCAAATTACTTTCTTATTATATTTAGTGTCGAGAGGATCCAAATAATATAATCTGGGGCCTTCTTGATCTTCTAAGAATTGTAAATCTTTGATTTTAGATTCATTGGATCTTAGCTTGTCATTTTGAATAAAATCTTTTAGTTCTGGAATTCCTATCCAAAAAATATGTTTAACAAAATTTTCAAATCTTAATTGGTTTTTAACATCTTGTTTTGAGTTTCTTTTGATATTCTTTAATAAATGAATAAATTTTTGCTCAAGATTTTTTTAATATTTACACCACTAATAATTGGAAACCCTGCTTTAATCCATGGTTTTTTTATTTTTGCCATGATACATTTACATTCGACTAGTTGACACCTATCAACCTTGAGGTTCGACTTTGGAGGACAATATAGAATATCCAAATTTTTTGTAATTCCATTTAGCAACTTTGATTGACAATATTTAAAGTGTTGCGAGATATCCATACCCGTTGGAAGTTGCGTTCTTAAACCATATAGGTTTTTATTAAAACAGTATTACCAATAATATATAAATAGTATAAATAAGTGCACATTATTTATCTTACAAAGTATAAAAGTGGTGGATTGGTGTCGATATTGAGATGAAGTGTAATGGTTTGATAATTAATTTGTTTTGGGTAATGGCAGGAGAAGGGGGGTGGAAGAATATCAATTGAACTTACCTTTAAATACAAAACTAATTAAAGTAGCAAGCAATGTACAATATTTTTAACCAAAAAACATTTTTATTATATTAGAAGAAATATATTTGTATACTCCAAATGTTTTCGTAATATCACAACAAAAGTCATAAATTTTGCGAATTTATGAATAATTTTAATAATAAATGCTCGCTAATAAAACAAAAATAAATATACGTATGATTTTTAAAAAGAAAATATATGTAGTGTAGGCCCATTTTTTTTTAATTTAGCCAAATTGGTTTATATTAGACCCTCCTTCAACATCACAGAAATCAGTAATTTTTGACAAAAAAATTGACAATTTATTCACAAAAATGAGCCTTGAGAGAGGGCCTAGAATGGTCAGAAAGTGACTAGTATGTTTTAAAACCTATTTTCTATATATTTGCACCAAATTTAAGGAGATGCTCTCTCTCTCTCTCTCTCTCTCTCTCTCTATATATATATATATATATATATATATATATATATATATATATATATATATATATATATATATATATATATATATATATATATATATATATATATATATATATATATATATATATATATATATATATATAATATATATATATATATATATATATATATATATACATACATATATGTATATATATATATATATATATACATACATATATATACATACATATATATATATATATATATATACATACATATATACATATATATATATATATACATACATATATATATATAAATATATATATATATATACATACATATATGTATATATGTATGTATATATACATATATATATATAAATATATATATATATATATATATATATATATATACATACATATATGTATATATGTATGTATATATACATATATATATATATATATATATATATATATATATATATATATATATATATATATATATATATATATATATATATATATATATATATATATATATATATATATATATATATATATATATAAATTGATTTTTTTCACAAGAAAAATAAAACAACTTTTTTTTTTCAACATCTTTGTTTCCACCAACCACTATTAGAGTTGGAAGTTACAGGAAGAGAAAAGATGCAGTTTATAAAGCAAGATAAAGATTGACGTCAGGAAAGCAAGATGAAGGAAGTGAATTCCAAAAAACTGACGTTTAAGAAAAAAAACTAGACGAATAAGAGTTTTTGGAGTACTTAAGAGCAGTCACAGAAAAAGGATGAAACTTTTGCAAATTTGTTATGAAAATATAAAACAAAAAATTTAAGAAATTATACCTTGTAATTTATTGACAAAACATCATCACCAGCATTCATTACGCCTTTGTGTAACATCTGCACAAATATATTGCAAGATTGGGAGTTTGAAAAAGGTAACACATCAACCTAAAATTAATGCATATCTACTAAGGTTTTTTGCCTTAGTAAAAACATAAAACAATTTAGAGAAGAAAATTAAAAAAAACTCTTTTAATTTGATTCACTCTTCAATTTTTTTTTTTTTTTTAATTATTTTCTAAACATTTATATGCCTAAAAACAAATTTTCTAGCACACTATATTTTTAATTATCAATGTGAGATTTTAATGTTTAATTTTTTTGTGGTTAAAAATCATAAAGCTTAACAATGAATGAAACCTTTTACTAACCCACTTAGTAATGTTGTACTAAATATAAAATATAATGTTTATAATTATATAATTAAATATAAAAGATAGTATGAAAGTGAAATTGTATTGAATGAAAATGGAATACTTTTATTAATTTTTAAAGTTGAGCAATATTTATTTTTTACATTTAAGAAATTTATAAATTAACAAAATTTTAAACACTTCATTATTTCGTTATTTCATTATTAAGCATTTAAACATTTCATTATTATTAAATATATTACTTTGTCTATTTTTTGTATGCTCGACATGCATTTCCATGTTAATCTTAAAACATTAACATTGAATTTTACCCTGCGATGGTTACTCATTTATGCACATTTGACACAGAGTATTTTTAAAAAGATTTATCACGCTTGGTCTTATAAACTTCCCTTTGTATTTTTGACCACACGATTCTTAAATCTTTATTATCTTTGTTGCAATAAAATCTAAAAAAAAAAATTTTAAACATTTTATAGTTTTTTTTTAATTACTTTTTATCATTTTTTTATTTATTTACTAATAATGTTTTGTCAATCAGTTATAATATTGAATTTAACGCTGCTGCCATCACTCATTCATGCATGTTTTGATACAGAGTTTTATAGTGAAGATTTTTCATGCTTGGCTTTATAATATTTCCTTTTATATTTCTGATAAGGTATTCTTAAATCTTTATTATCTTATTATAATCTGTTAATATACTGATATCATGAGGCAATGCTCCTTTCAAAGGTACTTTGCAATAATGTGACTTGGCTTTTTTGAGAGCAAGACAGGGTGTTAATTAGCTTGATGGCACAACGTATAAGGCGGAATTCTCAATTGGTTTAAAATTGCCAAAGGTTCAAAAGATCATCGGGAAAAAAAACTTTTATCAGGCTAAGAGCTAAACATGTAAAAAAATGAAATAGTACGCACGATGTAGAAAACGTAATAGTACGCAAGAAATGAATTAACTTGATTAATTTTTATTATAATGTGAAAAAAAAACGTTGTCAAAAGTTAATTACAACTTATATTTTTAATTGATGTCAGTTATTCTCTGGTTTAGATTCAATATGTTTAATAAATAAGGAAACAGTTTTGCTTTTGATGCACAAATATTGAATAAATTAAATCTAAGGAATCTAGGATTGAAATGCGGACAAACAACTCAAAAATGTATAACAATTTGAAATCTCAGTTTTCAATACAAACTCTTTATAATTTTTTAAATTTTTGTATAGTGTTTGTGCATTTTTAAGAGCTAATTACAATGAAAGTTTTCATTTTGATCAGTTAATAAATACATAAATTTTTATAATATTTTTCTATTTTTATTGCAAAAGTTTAATTTACAAAAACAATAATTATAAATATGAAAATTAATTTTTTTAAATTTACAAATACAAAATTTACGTAAATTTTGTATTCGTAAATTTCAAAAACCAAACATTAGGGTTTCTGAAATGAAAAAGCTGAATTCGAAAATCTGTAGTTTTTTCCTCCTTTATTTGAATCTGATATTTGTTAAAAATCCAATATCCTTTGAAAATTTTTCTACAATGGATATTGGATTTTTAACAGATATCAGATTCAAATACAGGAGATTTTTTTAAAATTTAAGATTTTAATCCAACATTTGTTAAGCTTAAACAATATTGTAGTTTCACAATTAATACTTTAATCTTTAATTATGTGTAATGCAGATATCTTTTAGTAAAATTAAACATAATTTATAATTTTATACCAACTACAATTATTATCGCTAAATTATATTGTGTTGCTAATTGGTCATAAATAAACCTTAAAAGCTTCTTTGTACTGGCAAAACATAAAGATAAACAATTCTTTCAGTTAGTTTTATTTTATCCTTTTAAAATAAAAGCCTCTTATTTTAACCCATCTAGATGTGTTCCAAATAAACATCAAAAGTATGGGAACAATTTTCTAATGGAAATTTCTAATGGAAAAGCAGGATGAAAAACATGCAAAACAAAGATTTTAAAGTCAAGTCAAGATGAAGTTGGTAATGGTAAGCCAGTGATAAAAAACAAAAAACAATGTGTAATTTCATGACACGTTGTAGCCAACAAGATACTGTCACTAGACTGTCAATTAAATGTAACAAACATCTATGAAAAGGGAAAATAAAAAATGACTTATGTCACAATTCAATGTTCACTTATTACATAAACTTTTAACATAACATTTTAACATTAAGTAATAATAAATTGGCATTATGCCAATAGTTACCAAACCAATAATTTTTCCAAAACAACTTCATTGAAACCTCATTGAATATATAAATAAATCATAGTAATAAAACTTTTGAAAAATGATTACTTTTGAAATAATTATGCATTGTAAAATAATTATGAATTATAAATTATGACTCATAAAAGTTATAAAGAAAAAAAGAATTAAAAGTATAAAATATTAACTAAAAGCTGAAGAGTAATAGAAGATTCAATATTACACTAGACAAGTAAACAAGTATTCAAATGAAATGTTAATTTACATGATACTTAAGAAAAAGAATCTTGTATTAGTGAGAATGTTGAGTCTTGTTATGACTTAATTGATATGTTAATTGATATGTTAATTGATATGTTAATTAATATGGTTAATTGATAGGGTTAATTGATATGGTTAATTGATATGGTTAATTGATATGGTTAATTGATATGGTTAATTGATATGGTTAATTGATATGGTTAATTGATATGGTTAATTGATATGTTAATTGATATGGTTAATTGATATAGTTGAGTGTTTTATAAATGTCTGAGAATATATTACTGAATTCTTTTTTGAGTTAAATAAAATGGAAAAATTCTGGCCGAAAAGTTTAGGAAAACTATTTATTGCAATTTTTAAATCAAGCCAATATCTACAGATTCTAAGCGAGTATTTTCAGCTAATTTCTGGCCAAAACCAGATCATGGTTATCTGATAAATTGTTGAATGCACTTGTATTTCTATATTCATTTTGTTTAAAACTAAGTAAAAATTTATAAAAATCAAATTAAGACATTATTTGCTGTTTTTACATATTAAAAATTTTATTAACCGGTTATCTGATATCTGGCAGTTTTCAAAAACAATGAATCCGGCGGATATCAAAATACTGGATTTTCAGAAACAGCCCAATTTAATTTTTTATAAAGTCACAGACATTGTCCGATCAAATTTTCAAAATATAATTTTTACGGTTTTACGGAACCGAGTTATGCAATAGATATCTTTGTCACGTTATTCAGTTTATTTAATGTTAGTCTAGTGAAGTTGTAGTCTTTATTATTTAGAATATTTGATTGTAGACTTTTGTTTTTTAATAAAAAGGTTTCAATTTATTCATTTTTGTTTTTTTTATATAGACTTAAATTTTCACACTGTAACTGATAAGGCTTTTTTTTTTTCTTTTTAATTTGGCAACAGCTGTTAGCAATTTAAATGCAATAAAAAAAAAAACGAATAACTTTTAATCATTAAACTTTTTTAAAGTTTTTATTTTACGCAAAGGCTTTAAAATAACATCAAAAATTAATTATAATGATCATTTAAAATAAACGTATGTGTAAACTAAATGTTTTATTTAAATTTTTTTTTTAGTAGGTATGTATTTTTTATGATAAATTTAAACGTTTGAAACTATTTTTCCATGTCTTTCTAAAAATCTTTTCAAAGATTACTTGTAAAGTTACTTAAAACTATTTAAATCTATTTACTTAAAGTTACTTAAAACTATTTAAATCTATTTACTTAAAGTTACTTAAAACTATTTAAATCTATTTACTTAAAGTTACTTAAAACTATTTAAATCTTAAGATTATTTGTAAAGTTACTTAAAACTATTTACTTAAAACTATGAATAAGTTAAATCTTACCATGATTTAATTGCTTTATTATTTTTTATTTTTAAAAAGAATTGTTTAAAAGTTTTTTTTTAAACTTGACTTACTAATTAAAGCATGAATTGACTATATTATTTATAAATTAAATTAAAAATACTCAGATGTATAAAAATACTCAAAATATTCAGATGCAATTAAAAACGTAACAAAAAGTAATTTTAACTTTGAGTTTTTTTTATTTTAAAGCTAATTTATTTTCTTTTTTGTAAGGAATTATTTAGTTTTTCCAAGGCATTTTTTAGGCATTTATTTTTTACATTTATAACTTAAAAAAAAAAAGATGACAATATATTTAGGTCCAATATGCAACTAAAGTAGATCAAAGTATCAAATTCATTTATTTAAATTTAATAAGCATACAATGTCTTTTGTTCTTGTTTTTTCTATACTATATCACACAAAGAAGAGAAGCAATTTAAATATGAATAAAGTTAAGTTTGCTCAGAATGAAACAAGATGATCAATTATAATTAATATAAGTTACCTTATCATATCTTTTTACTTTTCTTTTTTTTCACACACCTAAATTCCCAATATCGCAAAAAAACTCTGTATAAAATTTTTTCCCTGACTAACACCCTGCCAGAGTGTTGTTCTTACCAGCCAAGTAATGAACTGTCATAATAAAACACATAATAAAGTCTGTTTATAGTGAGTGTAATAATAAAATGTCTAATGGCAAATATGTTATGCAATGAGTTGTGTACTTATAAATATGTTGTGCTGTTAGTAGTTAAAATGTGTACAATAAACTCTGGATAACTGAACAACCGTCAATAATATTGAGGGTTATCAAGTTATCCAGAGTTAATAAAATTAAATTTCCAATTGAGCCTTTATATATGGATTATGCTTCCAATGACTCTAACATTCTCTAACAAGCTAATTTCTTGGTCCCTTAGAGGCTTGAATTTACTATAATATGTTATACTATTTAATAATCATTGTGATATTGTTGTTGATAGATGACTTGGCTTACCTTTATGTCGGTGTCTATCCTTTAAAATGAATATTGAGTAGTTTCATTACTGAAACTGACTTTATCTAATCATTCACTAAAGGTCAAGAATTTAGTTTTTAAATAAAAACATAAAAGTTTATCTTATTATGAATATTTATTTTTAGTCTTGTTTTTTTTTAAATAGTTTATAATTAAAATTTGCAACAATAAATCTTGAAACTTTCACAAAAATACACAAATTTCACAAAAAAAAAAAAAAACATTTAACAAAGTAAGTTTCTTATTTGTTATCTGTTTAATATTTGAGTTTTCAAATAAATTTTAAGAGTATGCAACACATTAATGTGTTATAAATGTTTTCATAATAATCTTCATACCTAAGTATTTTTGATATTTTTTATGTTAAATATAGTAATATTAATTTTTTTTAAATTTAATATTTTTATTTTATCTCAAGAATTTTATCTGAAGTTTTTTTGTTTCTCCCATAAAATTACATATTTTTCTCTTTGAAATTATTATTTTGAATGGATATAACGGCCATTTTTGTTTTGTATTTTTATACTTACGTTACATTTTTATAAATATAACGGAAATATAAAATGGAAATCATTTATACTATCACCTTGATGATTACAATCTAGATGGTTTCCATTTCCATTAAGTATTTTAGTTGTTGTTTGTGTCGATTTTTGAAACAAACAACAGCTTAGTTTAAAGATTTTGTTAAGAGTTCATTACAGAGAAGTTTTTATAAGAAATGTCAATCAGATAAAACTAATTTATTTGACATACGTAGGTCCTGTTACCCGTTTTCTGTGTCCTCTTTTACTTTTTAAATAAATGTATTATAATGAGAAGGTTAAAATTTTATTATATCCTTAACTGTCATCTATGTTAAAGATACTTTTATTGTGTAAAAAATAGACTTACTAAGAACCGTATTTTACTGGCTGGGACAGCTTCTATATATGAGTTATTTAATATTTAATTTATATTTAATTAGATAATATTTATTTATTTATGTTATTCAATGTATAAAGTGCAGTAAATATAAGTATAATATACAATGTATGCAATAAAATGTGGTAAAGTGCTTGCTTCATAAGCTAGAAATATAGAGTCACGCTTAACTTCATTCTTTTATATTCTATAGATGAATTTTATTTATATTTATCTTGAGCAATTTCCCATACACATTTTGTATAAAAAAACCAAAAATAAAAAAAACAAAAGTTGAAAGAATTATATAAAACAATAAAACCAATGCTATAGTTTTATTCAGAGGTTTTATAAAAAAAACCATTAAATTTCACAAAAAAGTTAATCTTTTGCACACAAAAAAATCAAAATAAATAAAAATTGTGATCATAAAAATCAATTTAATTATGAAAAATAAAGCAAATTTTTTTACTATCAGTGGTATATATGGTAAAACATGGGCCCCGATATATATTATATATATTATATATCAGGGTCTATGTTTTACCATATGTACCACTGATAGTAAAAAAATTTGCTTTATTTTTCGTTATTTAATTGATTTTTATGATCACGATTATCATTAATTTTGATTTTATTATCTTTACCATATATGGTAAAGATTAATTTCTGATCTAATAAAGCATACATTAGTTTCTGATCAGTAGTTTGACCCTGCTTAATAGAATACATAAGTTTTTTAATCAAAATAATATCTCTACCTTATCATCTACATGCTGATCTTTTTCATTATAACTCGTTGCAACAAGATTTCTTATTAAATTTTGTGTTTTCTGGCTTTCAGAAAGCACTAATTCATCTGATACCTCGTTTATGGCAGAATTATTTGCTAATACACAATGTTTATTATCAGTCAATCTAAAAATTTTCAATTAAAACATTAATTTAAACTGTTTATTCATAAAGAAGAAAACAAATTATAATAAGACAATATTTATAAATTTATGAGTGAAAACGGTTTTTTGAAATGTTTTGATATATATTTAGTTATTGCAAAATACAATATAAACATGTTAAAATGTATTACAAATATATACAAATATAACATTACATTAGAAATATATATAAAACTGTAACATTAATTAAATTAAGCAAAGATTAGTTTCTGATATAAAGGTTCACACTTTGTTTAATGGTACACTTAAATATTTTATTTATAAAATGCGTTTAAAAATGAAGATTTACTTCTTGTTTAATGGTACACTTAAACATTTTATTTAAAAAATGTGTTTAAAATAGTTAGAGCTTGTTTTATTGTTAGTGTAAAATGAACCATAAGAAAAAAAAAATAATTTTTATCAGTAAATTTTCAAACTTTTACAAGTTTTTTGCACACCATATTTTTTACATCAAAATTTTCTTACATGAATATACAAGTACTTTTCTTGTATTTTTACTGATATTTAACAAAAGAAACTGCTTGCTGTTTGTGATCCAGAATTACTTTAAAACAATTTTTTTAGAAAAATATTCCTTTAAATAAACATACAACATTCATCTAACTTTCTCCACAGACATTCACACTTCTCTTCTACAATAGCAATGTTAATTTTGAATCTGTTGTTAGCAACACTGAAGTTACATAACAACAGTAAATTTTATATTAAATTATAAATGTTATATTTTTGACTAAAATTTATTTTCTGCAGATTACCAGGCCAATACTAACAGTACCTTATTAAAAGTTCACACAAAATAATTTACAACAAATGTGCAAACTTAGCGCCATCATTGTATTCAGTTAGCGATGCACTTGAGTTTTTAAGATTTAAACAAAATAATACTCTTCTTATTTTTCTTTATTATTTATTATTATTATTTATTATCATTTATTATTATTTTCATTCAATAAGAAATATGTGCTGCAAAAAAACTCTTGTCAGATAAAAAATTTGGCAATAAAAACTATATATTCATAAAAACATTATAAATACAGATCCAGATAACTGTAAATAAAAAATTAAAAAGTAAACAAAAACATTTTTTTTTATTTATTTTCACATATTAAAAAATTGTAAATAAAAAGTAAAAAAATCAAATACCTTTTTTTACTATCCATTTTTAAGCTAATTAACTTCTGAATATTGAAAAGTTTTATAAGCATTTTTTGGTGAACTAGAATGCGCTGGGCAGCACTCATAATGGATGACTGGTTGCAAGTTGATGATGTTTGACTGCATGGTAGTTGTGAATCTGTTTCCATTTGTGAATGATGTAATTCATTCAATTTATTTTTTTTTATCGATAAAATTTTGTGTACATTTCCCAACATCAACTTTATTTCGTCATGGAGTTTACATATTGAAAAAAAATCACATCCTAAAATAATTAGAAAGATACTTGTAAATTAAATATAAAAATGCTATGGATATAATCCTATTTAACTATTTCTGTTAACTTAATAGTAGAGAAAAACATCTAAAATAAAGTGTAATGAAATTTACAAAAGTACAAATAAAGTTTAACGAAACTTTGCTAATGAAAATTTTAAACAAAATAAAAATACAAGTCTTTGATTAATTAGAAATAAGTTTCCTAATGAACTAATTTCTAATAAAACATTCAAAAAATAAAATTTAGAAATAAATTTTTGAAAATTTAAACTTATTTAAAATTGTCTGGTTAAAAATGTAAAAACGAAAATAAGAACTAGATTAAAAATAAAAATTAAAAAGTTGCTCAGTTTAGTTTTAAATAAGTTTAAAGACAGTGCCATGCCAACAAATTTAGATTTCAGACAGTACACAACAGACCACTTTACATGAATTTCATTAATTTGCAGAATATTGTTAACCAGCAGATAGTATTAATTCGCAGAACCAGCAGATAGTATTATAGATTATTAGATCATGTGTTTCAATTTTTAAGATAGTATTACACATTATTAGAATAATGGTTTACCTTTATTAATCTTACTTATAATGAATAAAAATTAAAAAAAAAATTTACTACATATAGCTTCCAAATTAACTACCCTACAAATGGTATTTAATGCTGTAGCTGTTCAATAAGCTTCCAGACATAGCAAGATGCCAAATAATTAAAATATTGTGTCTTAGCTGTTACATTGTTAAAAGTATGAAGACTGTAATATCTTTAATGATTTTGATTTTCCAGGATTTTGTTTTACCAGGATATTGTGTTTTATTTATTACATTTTGTTTATAATTTTATGAATCTAATAGGTTATCATGGATTTGTCAGGATAATATATTATCTTTGTTGTTGTTTCATCAATTTTATATAACTGGATATACCCTCCATATACCTATATCCCCCTTGTCATTGTTTCATTAATTTTATATAATTGGGTCATACACCCTCTTTTTTTTTGTTTAATCAATTTTATACTTCATTCTCATTTTTCAGATTAAAATTTTTAATTTATATCTATTAAACTAGATCTTTATAATCCAAACAATTGATAGCTAAAACTCAAACAAAAGTTGAAACTAAAACTATTTCATTTTTTTTTTTGAAAAATCTTTTAGCATTAAACAATCATTAACTATGTTGAAATGCATTAAATTTCAAAATAAAATAGCAACGGACAGAAAATTTTTGGACAAATTTTTTTCGAATATTATTTGTTTTAACAGATATTATTTTAAAGATTATAATACTATGAATTATCATTTAAATAATAATAGAATTGATTATAAATATTTATAAAATCTTTAAAAGGATCCCAAACTCCCAACACATGTTGTGTTCATATTAAAGATAATGTTGAAAAAAAAGGTTTGAACCAAGTTTTTTTTTATTAAAAATAAGTAATGAATGCATACCGAGAAAAACTAATGCTGCTGTTTTAGCCGAAGCTCGCCTTCTCCATTTTCTTCAAAAACTCAAAGTCTTTAAATTATACATTGCAATCTACAGACTTTAGCAATTCCTTTAAAACGCATTTAATTCATAAAAGTTTTATTATTTGACATCACGGTAGACTTTTAACAATTGAAAAGTGTAATTCTGCATTTTTCTATTTTAATTCAAAAAGTACGATGTAGTATGTTATTAACATCAGCAAAACAAATTTATTTGTATTATTTTTCCAAACATTGCAAAAAAACTTTTATAAAAAGTAAAAATAATAAATTATTTTTATTTTATAGGAGCTTATTTTTTACAGATATCTTAATAATTTTTAGTTTTATATATCTACTTATATTTCTTTTGTTTTTAAATTAAAACAAATATTATAGCTTTACTTATATTTACTAAATCTTATAATTTTCATACGAGTATTTTACATTATATAGAATGTTATATATACGGTCTCTCATTTTTGAGCAAGAGAGTGCAGTATTATATATTCTGAATCTTACAAATTTTTATTTAATGGGAACAATTTTCAAACTTCTTTGGTCATTTTTACGCTCTGATATTTTTTGTTTTCCCATCGAAAAAAAGTATTTATTAACAATTACTTTCATTAACTATTATTTAGAAATATATAATAAACTGTTAAATTTTTTTATTATTAAAAAATTTTTGATTACGCTGATTTAGTTTAAATTACTAAATTTGCTAAATTGGATATGAATAAAAAAGAAATATATTTTGCATTTGATTTTTGATAACAAAACTTTTAAAATGTTGGCAACTCGATACCAATTAGAACCTAAAGTTAAAGTTATGAAAAAAAGGTACAAGAATACACTAAACAATACAGTTGACAGTAGTATCAGATATAAAAATTCGTTGAAAGAATTTGTGAGATCCTGGTTTTGCATTATTACAACCAATAACAACACAAGTCGGAATTATAAATTTTGATTACTGTTCAATATTTTATAACCATCAAATTGAAAACATAAAATACGTATATTTTTGCTCGTTTTATACAGTTAACATTTAACAAAAATAAAGACAAATTATTATTATTTAACGCAATAATTAACACATTAATTAGTGGCAATAATTCAAGATACGTGGTAACTTAAATTGTCAAAATGTCATAATGTCATATTATATTTGGTATTTCCCAATTAATGTGTTGTATTAGGCATTTGTCTTTTAATATAGAAAATTAAAAAAACTAACAAAATTGAAAAATAGAAGTTTTTAAGCAATTTTCTCTTCCAATTCTTATTTTTTCAAAGAAAAGTTACAATTAAACTTTTATTTCTCTCATCTGAAAAAAAATGACACAAAAAAAAAATATTCTATACAACTCTTATTTATTCAAAGTTTAATTATTTGAAACAATTAATTGAAATTGAAGTTTAATTATTTGAAAAAATTAATTGAAACTTTTCTTTTTCTTTTGTTCTACTTTTTTTTAAAAAGAGTGCCCTTATATAAAAAAAGTTTTCAACTTTTATAAAGTTTTTATAAAAAGAATGATGAAATAAAAACTTTTCTTTCTTAACATAGAATTAAACTTAGAGATAAAATTAGAAAAAAAACAACTAAATTTCAAATAAAAATAAATAAAAATATTTCCAGAGTTTCATTTGTTAAAAGTGACGTCAAATACTAAAACTTTTATGAATTAAACACGTTTCAAAGGAATCGCCAAAGTCTGTAGATTGCAACGTATAATTTGATGACTCCGAGTTATTGAATAAAATGGAGAAGGCAACCTTTAGCTAAAACAACAACATTAGTTTTTCTCGGTATGCATTCACTATTTATTTTTAATCAAAAAAACTTGGTTCAAACCTTTTTTTTTAACACTATCTTAAATATGAACACAACATGTGTTTAAAGGGAGTTTGGGATCCCTTTAAATATCATCTACAATGCATATAATGTATAAATATAAACATAAAACATCAGGTTGAAAAAATACATATTAATTTATTTCAAGCCTTCCCAGGAAAGGCGTGCGGTTTTATTTCTCGTATGACCACACGTGATTACACTATTTTAGAAAACATGAACACGGCCGTTTGTAAGTTTTATAATAATGCTGAAAAAGTTTCAAAAACAAAAAAAACAAAACTAACAAAATAAAAAGAGATTGAAATAGAAAAAAATAAAAACAAATTAATAATTTAAATAATTTGTGTACTGTTTTTATTTTTGTTTCTTTAGAGTTACATTCAGCAACAAAAATTAAGTAAGGCGAAGCAAAAAAAAAAAAAAAAAAAAAGTTTGAAGTCTACAATAAAAAGAATGATTTTCTTTTTCTTAATCTTTTTTAAGAGGATAGCAAAAATACAAATTGCAATGTGTTTGTAAAATTTATTTATATAATTTTAATGTAACAACAAGGGTTAAATTAAGCGAATGCAAAACGCAAAATCTGGAAAAATATCTATTATTCAAAATTTTAGTTTATACAAAATCGTGTTCCTTATTTTTAAGGGGAGAATCAACTTAAATTTGTTAGCGAAAAAATAAAAAATAAAACAATAAACTTACGATTACAAAAGTAATAACACTCTAGTCACTAACTGCATTACAAAAGTAATAACACTATAATAGTGTTATTATTTTTATAATGCACTTATAACTTTTAAAATTCATGTTTTGTTCAAGCAACATTAGCATTCCCAAATTTTAATTGAAGTTGAAAAATATCTATAAGAATAAAGTAGATGTTCAAATAATATTAAAACTAAAGTAACTAAGAAAAACGTGACAAACAACTTTATGAAAATGTATTGTATTAAAAGTTTAGCATTATGAGAAATGTTACTAATGGATCGTAAAAACCAGGGGCGTGTACAGGAAATTTTTTGGGTAAATCCAAAAAAAATATATATATATGCCCCCCTATTTTTAGGGAGGGGGAGGGGGAACGGGTTTTGCCCGGATTGAGTGTATTTTATAAAAATATTTTAATAATTCTTTAACATTGATAAAATAGTCACTAAAGCTCAAAATATGAATTTTGAAAACTAAGAAAATTATTTTTTGAAAATACTCAGTTGTCGTAATGAATAATATATACATGTTAAAGTTTTTTACAAGATTTGTGAAAACAATTTACAAAATTAATACAAGATTTTGCTGTGTAAATTTTTTTATATAACTTTATAAATAACATTTAATTATAAATAAACTTTATAAATAATTAAAGTCAAAAAACTTATTGCAATAACTGTACAATGCTAAATGTTTTTACAAAGATGTCTGGCTATGAAAATAGCTGTTTAACAAAAAGCAGCTAAAACATTTCAAGTTATACTTTTATCGTATTTGAATTTTATTTAAAACACAACTCATGAGTATTTATAACAAACTTAAAAAGGTTTGTTGCTTGTAATGTTTTAGTATTATTAGATTAAAGTTCATTTTTGAAATTCAGGCAGTTAAGTGAAATTCAACTAAACTTCATACAGATCAAATTTAGGTAATAAAGCCTTTGGTTTGGAAATAATAAACAAACCTAATAAAGCCTTTGCTTAAACAAAAGACACTAAAACATATGACTTGGTCTTCCCAACTAGTATAACAAAACATTGAATTTCTGCAATTGTTTTTAGAAGAAACTGAATATTAGAAATAAAAAATTAAAACACAGGTGCTTTATAACACTTCAAAATTGTATCAACCAAACATTGTGTTAAACTCAATAATCTAGATAAAACTCAGATATTCTAGCAAAGAAACAGCAATAACCAAGTTAAAATGATTAGAAATGCAATTTTTAGGCTTGTTTAAAGCATATTTGGAGATGTTGATGAATATTTCTAACTAAAGAGACAAAAACTTTTAATGCTTGAATAAGATTTAAACTATAAAAATGAGCATTATTATTACTTGCTTGCAAAATTGTGTATTTAAAAAAGTTATATTAAAAACATGTCTTGTTATACACAGTGCATTAATAAAATCAAAATTTGTTATCAACTTTAGTAGAAGAAACAGTAGCAGGGGCTGCACCATCAATGATATTCTTTGAGACAAAAAACCACAGGTATAAAAAACATTTGTAAAGTATCCATGACATTTCATAACACCCAAAGAAAAACCAGTAATAGCTTTTATTGAAATACTAAGTAAACAAGTTTTTCTTTTATGTGTTTCATCATAGTTCCTATTACGATTATCATGATTCTCATAAAGGATAAACAATATGATTTATTTAAAATTTATACTTAATAAGTCTAAAATATTCTTTTTGATTATTAAAGAAAACCAAGGGACAAATACTAGTTTTTATAAATTCAACTATAAACACCTTCTACTTGTAATAACTCTCTGTCTTTCTTTCTTGTATCCAAAGGATATCGTGATATCAAAAGTTCTACACAATTAATATATTAGGTCGCCTAACTTTAAAAGAAATAATGCTTTTCTTTAACATAATAACTTTTTCTTTAAAATGCTATATAAACTTGTGAATTAAGCAACATTTTGAACTAATCATCGGCCATGTTAAATGTTTAATAAAACTAATTTAATAAAACACAAATTAAGTAGGGTGTATGGCAAAAGGAAGTCCAAAATTTATTTTTCACATTGGAAACCTTTTCTCCCTTTATTTATTACTTAAAATGCAAGTTATTAAAATGATACACAGTCTAGTGTAATAAAACAGGGGATGTCAATTGATATATTTTGATATATACTAGTTTTTACTAACTAATTTTAACTCCTGGTAATAGTTAAACAATAAAACTTGATAAAAATTTTACTCAGGGTGTATATAAAAAAGGAAGTTGGAAATTTATTTTCCACATTTGAAACCGTTTTTCACCTTATTTATTACTTAAAATGCAAGTTATTAAAATGATACACAGTCTAGTGTAATAAAACTGGGGGTGTCCATTGATATAATTTAATATATACTAGTTTTTACTAACTAATATTACCTCCTGGTGATAGTTAACAATTTGATAAAAACTCTACTCAGGAGGTGTATATCAAAAGGGAAGTCCAAAGTTTATTCTAACTAAAATAATCATTTTGATTTTTTTTAAACCAATGAAAGAAAAAATATAAAAAATAAAGTTTTATAAAGCAAAATAAAATAAGGTATGTCAATTCAAGTTTTTAATTAAGTTATTTAACTCAAAAGTTAGTTTAACCTCCATCAAAAGATTGTAATTATTATTTTTTAACAATTGCAAAATTATGAAACCGATATATTATTTTCCAGTTTTTAATTTTTTGGAATTTGAACCGTTTTCCAGTTTTTAATTTTTTTCCAACCGTTTCAGATAATCAACTGTGCATAATTTGTTTAGCTTTAGCTGTAGTTTGGTTTTAATAGTTACATATAGTAAGATTTTTTTCAACAATATAATCAAGTTGAAAAACTTTTATTTAATTTTTTTGGGTACGGCCAACGACATAGCAGACATCCCCTAGACACGCCGCTGAAAATGCGCGTTAATTTAAAAATTAACCAATAAAAGTTTTTTATTGGTTCATTTTAAAATTAATGCGCATTTTTACATAACGTTTTTCATAATGCTGTTTTATAAACTACTTTTTTATAACGTTGTTTAAGTGATATGTGAAAGTTCCTGAAATTTTTAATAATATTTGAATATCCACTTTATAATTTCTAGATGCTTTTCTACTTTAATAAATGTTTGGAATTAATAATGTTGTTTGAACAAAGAATGAACTTTAAAAGTAATAAGTGCTTTATAAATGTAATAACACTATTATAGTTTTATTACTTTTATAATGCAGTTAGTGACGAAAGTGTTATTACTTTTGTAGTCGTAAGTTTATTGTTTTTGCTTTGTTTTTTGTAACTTTCTTTTTTTTTTTTTTTTTGCTTTGACTTAATGAATTTTGTTGCCGATAATAATAACCACTAAGAAAAAACAAAAATAAAAACAACACACAAATTATTTAAACAATTATTATTGTTTTCTATTTAAATTTACTTTAATTTCTTATGTAGTTATTAAATTTAAAACAATTTTTCAGTAACGCATATAATATAACTTGCCCAAACGGCCGTGATAACGTTCTCTAACTTGAAAAACGTTTTCGTGGTCGTACGAGACGAAAAACCGCACGCCTGAGAAGGCTTGTATTCTGTTAAAAATTGTTTTTAATAGTTATATGGAGATAAATCCTACTTGTTAGAACCATTTTTCAATCTGAGATAGAAATAATTGTATTGCAAAGATAAGGTTATTTTCAGCTTGATTCTGAAAACTGCCAGTTTTGCTTATACATTTTGATCTGCATTTACTTGAAACAAGATAAACACTTGAATAAACAATAATAAACACTATATTTTTTGCAATTTCGATCTGTGACAAGAGCAGAGAATTGATGTTAGATTAGGATTAGCAGTAAAAATTGTTTTGATGAGGTATTGATAGATAAAGATCATAATAATAACTATTTATGTTTGTTAACTTCTGTATTGATTTTATAGCATTTTCTCTACAAATCTTTTATGCATAAAGAATTAATAAGTTTAATGAGAATATATATTTTTATTATGTGATTTGATATTTGGTACAATTAGCTTAAATCTAATTTAATACTAATACATTTTCCTTTTTTATTATATATATATATATATATATATATATATATATATATATATATATATATATATATATATATATATATATATATATATATATATATATATATATATATATATATATATATATATATATATATATATATATAATCTTAATCAAGATTTACAGTTATTGATAAAGATTTGCAAAAAAATAAATGTTAAAATAAAACACAATTAGATCTTTACTGTTAAACTTCATTTAAAATACCTGTTAAACAAGTTAAACTCTGTATAAATTGAGATACAATAAGAAAAATATTAAGAAATAATATAAACCAAGACATAAATAAGAAAATTACAGAAATCTTTTTTTTCTTAATTTTTAAAGTGTCAACTAATGTTATTTTGCATTTTAACCATTTGTTTAGCTAATTTCATATAGTTTTAATATTTATATATTTTGAATTGCAATATAATTGCAAACAAATAATTTAACTTTTACTTTTTTTTTTTTTAACTATTTTTATCTCAAGTAAAACTAAACTACTAACTCCAACAAACTTTTTAAATAAAAAATAGAAAGTAAATAAACCACACTTGCTTTTTTAAAAATTTCACTCATAATTAGTTAAGACCAATTTCACTGGTCATTTTTTATTAGTTTTTTCTTTAATTAAAAAATTTATATATTTACCTAAAACACAGCTATTATATAAGCATAGTGTTTCATATATATAACCAATTTACCGCTTTCAATAGATTTCAATAAATGTTCTTGTTTCCCTTTGATAATAATAATTTGTTCATAAGCAGTTAAAGATTGAGTCCTAAAAAAATACAATTAAAATATTTCATTTGAATAATCAACTGATATACAAAATTATGTACAAAAACTTTAATATTTAAAAATTAATATTGCAGCTAAAATAAACCTGTTATTGAAAAGCAACTGACTATTATTAACTTGAGTATTTTCTGCATCTTTAACTTCTAGAGAAATCAAATCTTTAATCCTAAATTTATTTATATACTATCCAAACTTCCTGCAAAAAATATGGAGATGAAAAAAAAATCTGTAGATAACTAAACTTGAATTTTATATTGCATAAAATATTATTACTAAATGATTATTTCTGCTTATGTTTGAACCAATGCACAGTGGAGTATTAGATCAAAAAAGTCAATCAAAATTATTTTCAAAGTTACGGTAACAACAAATGTTTTTTTAAATTACCACAAAATATTTTTTTTCAATAAAGGTAAATATACCATAAATATATATTTAAGAAGTATATTTTAAAACATTAAAAGTTATAAATATTACATATATATTTCATTAAAGCGAAATAAACAGTAAAATATATAATGGCTACATAATAGTGAAACATTTTGCATAATGTTTACCATTATGTTAGTAAAAAAAAATTTCTTTTGTGTCTTTTTTTGTATAATGTTATGTTCCCCAAAAGTACTTATGTATTTGATTATATATAAAAAGCATTATGTTTTACAATTGTGTTACCCATTATGTTTATTAAATTACATAATAATATGACATCATAGAAATAATAATATAATTATATATTACATTGTATTACTATATAAAACTGTGTTAAAATTGGTTTGAACAAAAAGCTATCATTTAAATTTAGCGTGATGTTAACCATTATGTTAGTAAAATATGTCTTAATAGCTTTACGTTCCCCAAAATTATTTGTTTATATATGAAAGGCATTAAGTTTTCATTATGTTATCCCTGTTAAGTTAGTCAGATTACATATTAATATGATATCATAGAAATAATTGTAAAAAAAGCGACAATTTGTTTATATGTTAAAATGATTTTTCTGTAAGCGTTCAAGCAACTTTTATATTAATATTGTTTATTAGTATACGTTTATTATAGTTTTGGTTATTTAGGCTCATATTTTTAATATGGATTATTGCTGATATAATTGATTTGTTTCCATTTATTATTATTAAAGAATGTTGCTATATTATTATTCATCTTTATTAGTTTTATGTGTGTATGTATGTATATAATACATACATACATACATACATACATACATACATACATACATACATACATACATACATACATACATACATACATACATACATACAACATTGCATAAGTACCTGCTTTAGTTTTTTACTATTTACATTGTTCTTTCACAAAAATAAGAATATTTTTTTACTATTGTATTGTAAAAAGCGCTTTTTTGTGTGTAAAACGTTGATTGATTGAGTTTTTATTGCATTAATAGAAATTATTACAACAAAAGTTTTCTAAAATCTATAAATTTTATATCTATACTATCTCATATTATCAATATTAGATTATATTATAACTTAACACATTTTCATGTTGTATAATGTAAACTAATAAACTGTTTTTAAATTTTATTTGAATATTTCTTGAATATTTTAAAACACCTTATTTGGATGTTTTTTTACCAAAATCATTGACTAATTTTGCGGTAACATTGCGGTAGTGGAGTAGTGGGTGAGCACTCACTTCATAAACAGAGGTTCCAAATTTGATCCTCATCACACCCCTGGTATTGTCATAATATTGTTAATGTTAATAAGCAAAATAAATGTGCTAGCTTACTTTTTACCAGAAAATCTTAATTCCACAATAAATATAGGTTTTGATCAAAATAATAAATAATTGATGATCTTAATTCCATCACCCACTTCTTTACCGTGTTTCAGTAAAAAGCAGTCTAAAGAATTTTAGTCTACTGATAAAAGCATTGTCATAAATACCTTAAGTGTTATTTTAAATCGAGTCGCTTTATAGTATATTATCCAACTACACATTATTTTTATACAAGTTTTCCACTATGTATGAAAAGTTTTGTATTATTTATGTATGAAAAGTTTATTTTCAAAACACAAGGAAAAAGAGTAATTTTCTTTTTAAATGCCTCCTTAAATATCATTTAATATAAAATAATTTTTTTTTTTTTTGCATGATGGTGCACTTTATTTTTATTTTTTATATTATTTTCAATTAATAACTTTTTTAAGTTATTTTTTTGTATAAACAGCTATTAGTTATTTGTTGTTTTTTAAGTTACTTGAATTTTTATATTAAGTTGGCACATACAAACAAAATTGCTCATACCACTTTTTAAAAACAAACACTTCAATGTAATTCATATAAATACAAATTTTCACTCACCACCTCGTTGCATGAGAATTATAGAGTACTAAGATTTTTGAAAAAAATAAGTTATTAAGAAAGTCATAATGATGTAATTTACCTTTTTCAAAAATTCTGTGTTTTGATTAAGTCTTTGACAAACGTGTAGAGCAGTAAAGTTTTAACTTAAAGATGGCTGCTTGCAGAAATAGGAAATTGCCTTTGCAAGATGTTTTAAATGCAATTAATAAAGACTCTGGTAGCAGTAGTGATATTTTAACCTACATGTCTAATAAGTAAGTATTGTTTCAAAAAATTGTGCTAATTTTAGGTTGCATTCTCAAATAATGTGTTAAAAAATGAGAAAGTAAAAAAATGTTTTTATGAAAAAGTTTTTATGAAAAATAGTAAAATATCAACTTTATTGATAAAAAGGAACTCAATAAGAAAAATGGAAAGAAATAAGAAAATATTACATAAGTCATCATGATCACCCTGCTATTGATAACATGTAATCCATTCCAACCTGTTCTGTTCTGCTGCTTGAAAGAATTTGCTTTCAAAGTAAAGAAGTGTACTTTCTATTATTAATACTATCTAATATCTGTCATGTCTACAGTGGTATCTATTGTTGTCTGTTATATAGTTGGAGGTGTCTTAGTTACTGTGTTCGCTTACCTCTAATATACTATATATGTACATTTATGCTCTCTCTGAAACTCTGGTGCTGTTCATTCACCTGTAAGTTACCAGTTTTAATCAAATTCTTCCACTATAACTTAAATTATTCATGAAAAAGTACAACTACAGAGGTGGATAAAGGAAAAAAATAGGACATTTTAGGCTGAATTTCAAAATGTCATAAATTTTGAATTGCTTTGATTTGGAAGCTCAAACTTTAATTTTTTTTATGTACCATTAATAGATACCACTGGTTGAAATTCGAAAGATATCTGAAGGGGTTACTGAAGGAGGTAACTAAAAAATTTGTCCTACTTTTACATGGAACTATCCATTACTAATACTCTTTGACAGAATTTTTTCCAAATTTTTTTATATACATGATATTCAGTTGACTAAAAAATTATAAGAAAAATCACATTATAAGAAAATTATAAGAAAAATCTTTTATACCTGGGGAATAAAGAAATTTTTTTCTGGGCTGAAAAACAGGAGATTCAGGAGGTTCAATATCTTTTAAAACATAGTCATTGTTTTCATTGTCACTATGTATCAAATAAAACAGAAAAATAAATTAAATAAAAAGCTATGAATAAACTAAAGAAACAAAAACTGATAAACATTTTACAACAAATTTAATGTTATAGCATATAGTCACCTTGCAGTTTCTTCATTAGATGATATAACCTGAAAAAAAAACATTTCTTTAATTGCATAAATGTAAACTAATATAAAATAAATATTTTTAAAAAAAAGAAATCTATTAATTTAATTTAAATAAATACTATATAATTCTAATAACAATAATAATAATACACTAATTTATCAGATGGTTACACCAATCAAATGGTTAGTGGTGTAACACTACAGTTATCAAGTGAAACAAGACAACTACCCTCTTAAAGGGCAAGCAGAGTTGCAAAAAAGTAACAGTCAATTGCTCGACAGGGCAACCACACAACTATTAGACACAAGAGTGCTTTCATTAATAAAATTATTATAGTTAATCTACACGAAGTTTTGTTTTAAAAAAACCTTTAAAAAGTTAGAAATAAGTCATTTAGCTCCATATCAAAGTACTTAGTCAGATCAATTATTTTGCACAAGATTTAAACAGTGTTGTTTTCTCAGGTAATACCTAATCCAGGATAATAGTTGGTCAACATTTTCAGCAGTCTAGCCATCCATGCACAATTCTCATTTCAGTCTGCACTGCTGATAATCCCCAAATATTCTCAATATGACAAGCTCCTGGCACATTTTTTAATTCATCTCTTTTTGTACCAATGGCAACTTGAGTGCTTTTAGCCAATCTGTGACTGATTGATGGTTAAAATACATATTTACAATTGATGTTCCTAAATAAATAGGATCAACATCTAGATTATACTTTGCTTGAGTTGCACTTAATGTTTAATGCTCTAAGTCCATTACGCAATTTTTAGATCTGCTAATTAGTTACTTTCATAAGACATGTCAAAATTAGTGCAAGAACAAATTAAAATATTTGTTTTTGAAAATAATAAAATTTGTTGATTTTGAAATGACAAAAAAAAAAATTAAAACTATTTGATAAAAACATATTTTTTTTTTGGAGATATAGAAATAAATAAAACAACAAAAAATTAAGAAAAAAAAAAGAGAATATTTTTAGCAATTTTATTTGTTATTAAATTTTTAAGTGGAATTTTATTGATGTTTTTTTTTTAAAAAGTTTGCTTTATAACTAAAAGAACATTTTCAACAAGAAAATTTAAGTATCATGTCAATCAATACTCGAAAATACTCATAAAAATCTTACCTTAAGATTACCAGCCATTTTGTACCTAAATATTGAAGTTTGTCCTTGTAAAATTTGTACTTAAATTAGTTAACAAAAGATAAAATTAAACATCATAAGTGTCCTTTTTTATTTAATCCAATTAAAGTATTTCTAAAACACAAAATTTTTATCAAATAAAATTTTTTTAAATAAAAAAAATCAATAATGATACAAATGTTGAAAAGTTTTTAATTTTTATTTTTTAGATTAATAAAAAAAATATTTTTTTAAATTAATAATTATGTCAACGCATTATAATTGTGTTTAACCTACATTTACTTTAATTTCAATCATGGGTTAACATTAACACGAAAGAAACTTTATTTATTTTAATTAATTGATATAAACCAAAATTAATCAAAATAACCAAAAATATATTAAAATAAAATTATTAAAAAGTTGAAAAATAAAAAAGCTAACTAAAAATAAACTATTTAAAAAAAAAGTTTAAACGAAAACTCTTTGAATTGAAGTTTTCAGATGTCTAATATATTGCATTTATGAAAATAATTTTTAGAACTCTGAACTGGAGTTAAACATAAAATGAATAAAATTATTATTCATTTTATGTTTAATTCTAGTTGTATTAAAAATAATAATGTCTCTATTAAAAATGCTAACTAATTAATTTTAACTTTGTTTCTTTATGTGTATTTACCATTTTCAACTAGATTACTTTTAATATATCTACTAAATATTACTCTATATATCAACCATATATTTCTCTATATATCTACCTTATATTACCAGGGGCAATTCTAGACCATTTTCTACAGCGTCAACTGTATTTGGGCGCTGCCCAAATTAAAATTAAGGCCCCTTTTTTTTCTTTTTTCTTTTTTATAAACTTTTTACAATAAATATTGTTTTTAAACAAAAAAAAATGCCTATATCTGGCAATATTTTGGCTTATATTGTCAGGATTTATTCCTAGAATAGCCTCTGATTACTTAATATATTTACCATATATTACTCTATACATCTATCTTATACTACTCTATTTACCTACTATAGATAACTCTATATATCTACCATATACTATTCTATATTTACTATATCCTCTCATTCTACTGCTAATTTCTTAACCATAATAGCAAAAAGGTTCTAGACTTTTAATTAACTGGATTACATAAAAAAGTAACTAAAAACAATTTAAATGACTTTTCATTACACAAATTAAGTACAAGTTTGCATATTTAGAGCTTTTTTGTTTGTGTTAAATATGAATTCTAAAAACGTATTGGCTGCTTCATTGTTATAACCATCAATAAAAACTCGCATTATATGTTCATCTTCAAATGATTCACTTAATCGCTTACGATTAAAATCTGTTAAAGAAACACGTTTACCAATATACTCAATACAATCACTTGGTTTATCTTTGCAAACAGAATCTTTTGGAAAAATTTCTTCTCTTACGTTATCGTACAGTTTATTCTCACTTGAAATCCATGCAAAATTCTTTGTACCACTGTCATCTTTAAAGTTTAAAGTATTAAGCTGGTAGCAAACAAATGTGAACGTGTCTCCATCAAAGGAAATACACTGAAATGGTATAGGTGATTTTAAGTCTTTGCCCATCTCCTCACCATTATTTAATGCAAACACAAGACTGTGTGCGAAACTGTAGAATATTGCTAAAAAGTAAAAAATAATTATTTAATGAATTAAAATCAAACAAACAAACAAACAAAAAAATCATATGGTAAAGAAAAATATTGTTCAGCTAAATCTTTTTAACAGCACTTGAAAATAATTCTTATGAAGGCCTTGATGAATATAGTTATACAAAAAGAAAGTTGAAGTAGTTATACATTTTAAATCTTTGTTGCAAATTTTATTTTTTTAATGCAAATAATAAAAGACTTTTTATGGAATAGTTTATTTATCTAATATGTATTGCTTTTTTATTGTCAATTATTAAAAGATGAAAGTTATTAAGTATCTAACTTTATTTGTAAAATTTAGTATATACTTATATAAAAATTATTATATACAGTATAAAATAATTTTTAGATAAGTATATACTAAATTTTACAAATAAAGTTAGATACTTAATAACTTTCATAATTGTTAATAACAAATAAAGTAAGATACTTAATAACTTAATAACTGTTAGTGCAACCTACTACCCAACAACTCTTTTGGATTTAAAAAAAAAAATTAACAAAACCGCAACTGATATTTTAGTTTGTTTTATCCCAATTCACAAAGATTAGTTTTAAAACAATACTTTTTAATATGAAGTCATGTCATGCCAACTGGATACATAATTAATCTATATAAGTCGAAAAGAAAAGAAAAAAGAAAAAAGAAAAAAAGGAGAAAAGAATTTTTTAAAAATACAAATAAATTACTTTTTCAATTAATTAAATGATCAGCAGTGTTGATTATCATCATGACAATAATCAACACTATTGAAGATTTTTTTAAATATTTTTGTACTTATTATCAACACAGAAGGGCATGTCAATGCAAGATTTGTTCAAAAACAATTCAAACTTTAAGTTTAGTACAAATAGTATTCACGCATACCTTCAAACACATAACAAAACTAACATTTAAAAGAAAAAAAACAGATAAAAATACAACTTAACTTAGATACTTTACACGAATTAATATATATAAATATTAGCTACTTAAAGTTCATTTTAAGGACAATGAAGGACCACCCCAACGAATACCAATAAAAAGGAGACAGTTTGGAACCCTCCAGCATCCAAAAATGCAAATTTAAATCTTTTCTTCGAAAAGATTAAAAGTGAAACAGACACGGTGCTAAATGAGAGTGTGAAGATAGCACACACCAACCTAACGAAAAATGGGAAAGAACCAATCACATCACTGAAAAATAATAAAAATATCATCATCAAGCAAGCTGAAAAAAGTGGTAACATCTGCATCTTAAACAGAAGAGATTATAAAGAGAAAATTAATACCATGCTAGAAGATGATACCACATATAAACTCCTACAATACGACCCCATCATAGAAATGGCACGGAAAGTTGTATCAACAATTGATTACATCGACGAAAAGACTGCAAATTATATATGTCCAAACAATCCTTGTCGCACTCCCCTGCTCTATGAAAAAGTGGTAACATCTACTCCCCAAAATACACAAAACTGGAATTCCTCTCCAACCTATTGTATCTGCTTGCGATGGTCCCACAGACCACCTCTCATATTTTGTGACTAAGTTCATACAACCACTAACCGACAACACTTCCATTATATTTTAGAGACTCCACACAATTTCTCTACATGCTTCGAAATCAACCACTACCGCCTCACAAATACATCTTCGTCACCACTGGCGTTACCTCCCTGTACACTAACATTCCCCATAAGGATGGTATAGAAGCCATCAACTACTTTTTAATAACACACCACATGACCTAAGACCACCCATTTCACCACCTGTAGCATATATACAGATTATGATTGACACCTGACAAACAATTCTGACAAACACGACATTCCAGTTTGACGACCGCAACTATTTACAAGTGACAGGAACATTGATGGGTACACGCATGGCACCACTATACGCTAACATATTCATAGGCACATTAGACGAAGCCATCACTGGACAATTTAAAGACAGCATCACGTTCTACAAAAGATTCATCAATGACATTTTTTTCATATTCACAGGCATTATAGAAGATCTCAAACATATTATAACATTTATGAACAACCTGCACCCCACCATTAAATGAATAAACGATAACGATACATCGTTTACAAAGAAATGAATGGAATATGAGCAGCCGTGGCGCAGTGGTTAGAGTTCTGGCTCAGAACCCAGAGGTCCCAGGTTCGACGCCAGCTCTAGCCCAACAAGCGACATTGGTACGGAATTAGGGGTGAACTTACTGTTAGATGCTCTACCACGGTGCTCTATGATAAGACCGTAAGGACTTCTGGGAGCACCTAAATACATACAAAAAAAAAAAAAAATGCTTCCACCCTATGAATACCTGGCCACTATCCATACAGATAATATTCTGGAACATAACTACAACCAACACTGAAACATTCAAATTGACACTTTTTTTCATTGGTAACAGATGTTCTCCATACTTAACATTCAAATTCCTTATTCTCGGAAAAAACTGCGCAAAATATAACAAAAGAATATACCAACTGCTGTGGCTAGCTAGAAACATTAAGAACCATTCACATAGATGGTTTTATTTTGACATTTATTTCAATTCTATGAGATATTTAAACATGGATCCTTGTCCATGTGAATGGAAAAACCTTGAAGATAAAAAAAATGATTCATCAATATTTTATTTAAAACAAAAAATAAAATGCAAGATTTGTTCAAAAACAATTCAAACTTTAAGTAACAGTACAAATAGTATTCAGACATACCTTCAAACACATAACAAAACTAAAATTTAAAAGGAAAAAAACAGATAAAAATACAACTTAGCAGAAATAAAAAAAGATTAAAATAAAACTTAACAATCAACATTTCTACCAATTTGATCAATTTATCAACTATATCAAAAATACTTCATAAAACAATGGTTTAATGATTTGTTTGGTGCTTATGAAGCGTGATTAACAGTCTATTTGTTAAGTTTGTACATCTTATGATTTAAGAATACTGTTAAAGTGCTAAGAGTTATACTAAAATTTTAAAGTCTTCAAACACAATTGAAAAAATCATGAATGAATACGCGAAGAAAATTCACCAAGAGCAATTATCTGAAAAAAATGTTGATCTGATTACTAGACATGCAAATATTTGCTGGTAGAAACGATTCAAAAAATTATGAATAATATTTTTTTTAAATGTGCAAGACTGCCAGTAATTTACCAGTAAACAGGTAAATTAGCAGACAGGTAAGTAGCAGGTAAAAGATTGTTTGTTTTTTACTTAATAACTAGTAATGAAAAAATTCGGTAATTTTGCAATCCCTACTACTAACCATAATTCTGACCACTAAGGCCAAATTGTAACTTTGTCATTGAAACTCATAATCTTGGTTAAAACACTGTATTTTTCTTTATTCTGAAGTTACAGAAAAAAAAATTAATAGAAAATACAATAAAAAGACAAACCTTGTCCTGTTGTATATCTAGTATACCAATTAAATGGATTATTGATCAAAAGAGTTTGGGGGTATGGATATGGACTACCTTCGTGAAAACCAGACCTTGGTAAAAATTTCGTTTCATAAGTGTGTAAGTCAAAGAAAGGTGATATAACATCATCCCACTTTAGGATTTCATTAGAACTTGATGAGATATCTTCAGTAAATAATGGAAGTAATGAATTTCCACTAACTAATTGACCAATTTTTCCTGTCACTTGAAGTTTTTGACCTAACCTTTCCCAAGGTGCAGCAATGTCAGGTCGATATGAAAAGTTTTTTAAAAGAAGACCAGCATCTCTAAAAAATATTTAATTAACCAAAAAATAATTTCAACATTAGTGTGTGTGTGTATATATATATATATATATATATATATATATATATATATATATATATATATATATATATATATATATATATATATATATATATATATTATATATATATATATATATATATATATATATATATATATATATATATATATATATATATATATATATATATATATATATATATATATATATATATATATATATACATATATATATATATATATACATATATATATATATACATATATATATATATACATATATATATAATATATATATATATATATATATATATATATATATATATATATATATATATATATATATATATATATATATATATATCCTTATAGTGGAGTCGAAAGAGACTTTTATGGTAAAAAAAAGTCTCTTTCGACTACAATTTTTTTACCTTGTCTCTTAAGCTGCATTTTATTATTGTCGAAATGTCAAAGCAATTAAATTAATGGGGAAGTACATTAAATTTTATTGTTTTTTAAAAAACCGCAATAATAATGACTAGAAAGTTTTTTTTAACTAGCGGTGTTTTTGTTTTTGTTTTATTAAAAAACATTTTAAAAACATGCGTAAGTGTTGCTACATCGACTATCTTATAGCCTGCTGCTACAAGGGAGTGTTGCTACATCGACTATCTTATAGCCTGACTCGCAAATTCATATTTTTGACTGGGGGGAACAATCTTTCGGAAAGATATATTTTAGTTTTTTCAAAGTTCAATTTGGGAGTAGTTGATTGTTACAATAAATGGTTAAAAAGTGCTGTTTCCTGAATGTAGAGGAAACTATGACGCTAAAAATAAAGTAAGAGTTTTTAGGCTTCCCTCCAATGAAGAAGAAAGAAGTCGTTGGATAAATTCAATTCCAAGAAGTAATTTTTCAAATAAACCAGATACTGTTGTTTGTGAAAGTCATTTTCCAAAGAAAAATTTTTTAACGATTATTGCCAATGAGAAAGTTAGACTAATAAACCTCCTTCAATTTTTCCAAACATCCCAGCTAGCGCAATACCAACTCAACCATTAAAACCAAGGTCCACTTCTAAAGTGTTGTCTTCTAGCAGAACTGAAAAGTGTGATGAGTTGTCGCAATATTTAAAAAACGATTTGTTTACATTCATTTTTTTATGTGAAGATATTAAAAATCGTAAATTTATTTGTCCTGTAACAACTTTTGTTATGATGTTTTGCACATCCAATCAAACTCCTTTTATGTTAATTGTATACCTATGTTTGCTGTTCCTATCTCAAGCATTTTTAAATTTGAAAGTTTTCATGCTGGTCTTCGTTGTTTTATTTCTTCACTATCAAAAAACCGTATTACATATCTTAATTGCTGGTCAAGATAATGACCAGCAAATAAGATATGTAATACAGTTTATTACATATCTTAATTGCTATCACTCCCGTGGGTATTTTTTTGTTTCATTATTTTTGAAATTGAGAAAAACAAAATGTGCAGAAAGTCATTGTGTAATACTTTTATGATGATATCTGATAATTATAACTTTAATATGTTAAAGAAATGGTACAATATTATCAAACATATTTCTTAAAAATTTTTGTTTGCTTTTTTCACCCAAGTCCAATAAGGAACCTGCATTAAAGGATCTAAAGTTGTCTGTATAACATTGAAAAATTATTATGTACATTTTTTTATAACATTATTGATGCATATTTTGATCTTTTTTCTTTCTTTTTTTTTTTGGCATTATTTTAAAGTTAGTTCATTTTTTGTGATTTAGATTTTAAATAATTACAACTCATTATTCTAAAAAATATTGTACTTTATTCTTAATTTTAAAATGTTTTATTTAAATTTGATGATTTTTAATAAACACTGCATTAGATATTTTTTGCATTAATACAGCACTTTTAAAATTTAGTAAACTAAATAAAAATAATGGATTAGTTAGCAAACTTTTCTAGCCATTTTTTATAATTTCTGTAACTTTGTTCGCCCCCAGTCAAAAATATGGATTCGTGAGGGGAAGGCCTGTAGTAAGTATCGCCATGATATATATATATATATATATATATATATATATATATATATATATATATATATATATATATATATATATATATATATATATATATATATATATATATATATATATATATATATATATATATATATATGTATATATATATATATATATATATATATATATATATATATATATATATATATATATATATATATATATATATATATATATATGTATATGTATATATATATATATATATATTAGGCTGGTTCTTAAAACAACCTTTTTTATAAATGACTGCTGGCACCCTCTGAATATGTTGTATATAATAAAAAAATTCTGGATTTAAAAAATTTTTGAATAAAAATTATTTTATGGGGTTGCTACCGACCTTCAAACATTAAATAGGTACCTAACATTATTAAAAAAAAATTTTTCAAAAGTAGGTCATGTTAATGTAGAAATGTTATTATTTAAAAATGTTTTGGAATGTTTTGTTTTTTAATGTATAAAAACATTTGTTTATTTTCTTGACGTTTGACACGTTTTGTCTATACTAAACGAATAAAAAACATTATAACTAATCATTTAAAAAAGATTATAACTGCTAGTATTTGAATTTTTTTTCTTCTCAAATATGTAATTTAAAGTTTTTCAAATAATTATTTTTTCTTTTTAAAAAGTCAGAGAGTAATAAACTGGAAATTTTAATTTTGTTCGATTAAAAATTGTGCAATAGCTAATATTTTTACCAGCGATTTTATATAATAATTTTTTATTTATTTATTTTTATTTATTTTCATAAAGCGGTTGATAAAGGGAAAAGGAAAAAATTTTAACTCTTTTAAAAGATATTTTTTGAAATAAAAAAGTGAATATTTAGCATATAATAAATTCCACGCTCTACTACTTTCCCCTAACCATATTTTTAAAGGTTAGTATTCAATTAATAAATAATAATATTAATTATTATGTTGTATTTAAAAGAAAATGTAAGCAAGCTATATTACATATCATTTGTCAAATAATAGTACAATTATATGTAAATAAATGGAAAAACTAACAAAAATAATGAAGCAGGTTCAACCGCAACAGAGGTATTAAAAATTTTGGGAAAATGTAACATACTAACTGTGTCATCAATTCCATCTTTGACAGAGTTTTTAACCTTTATGAGCAGAACATAAAGCTGCAAAAAGCAAACAGGAAAAATAAAAAAACAAAGAAAAACTAGCAAAACTGTTTTATATATCTGCTTGCCAATACAAAGGTCTAAAGAAATGCTGCTGTGCCAAAGTTAATATGGTACCAGCTATGGAGCACTTTTTCCTGGAAGATCAAAGGAGTGAACGCAAAATGGCTATAGGTTCAAAAAACAAAAAAATTACAGCAAAACTGCAGAATATACAAAGCAAACAGAGCTCAAACCTTAATCATGCAGTGTCATTAGATTCTTTCATTTCTACCAAACTTATTACTTGGAAACGGCCTGATATCTTTGAAAACACCCAGGTACCAACAGCATCATCTTCAAAGCAGATGCGATTGTTTCTCCCTTCTCTTTTATTTGCCTGTTACCCCCATGGACTCTCTGACAGATCGGCTACAGCTGTGGCATCAGCTGTACTTAAGGATATTGGCATTATTTTATATGATAACAAAATACAAGTTATTGACCGCATAAAAACAAGGGATAACCAGAAAGTTGGTGAAATCCAAGTAAAGGTGCTGTATTTTGATGGCAAAAAAGACCGAACACTCAAATTTGACAGTAATAAGAGAACCATAGTGATGGAGGAGCACATATCCTTGATTCAGGAAGCTGGAGGAGGCTACTTGGGACACTGCATTCCTCTTAGTGGAACCCTGAATCACTAAAATTTGCAATTATACAGTATTCTAAAGAGCACAATATTATTTTGGATAATTTGCAAGTGCTGGGCTGTGGTGGAACAAATGTAAACACAGGAAACAAGGGTGGTGTTATCAGATTGATCAAGTTAAAACTTCAATGACCTCTACAATGAGTAATTTGTTTGCTACATGCAAACGAGCTTCCACTGCGCTATTTGTTTGCAGAGTTGGATAGTCCAACATCTGGTGCTAGATGCTATTCCAGGCCTTGCGATAAAGCGTCGGGCGATGTAAATTTTACGCCGTCCAAGAGCAATTTTGCGTGTAGCTAGGGCTATTTACGTCGAGCAAAAAAATTTTTGTTTGAGTATATTTAAAGATATTTTTGAGCAGAATTTTAATGAAGTAATTTACGATTATTTTAACATTTAATAAAGTATTTTAAAAACCGCACGCAGTTGATATAAAAGTTTGAATTACAAAAAAATTAAATATGCTCATTATTTACAAGTAGAAAAAATTCAGATTAAAAAAAAAGTTTAAATCTTTTTAAGCTAACATTTTAATAAAATTCAATTAAAAAGCAATAGCAAAGTTGTCGATAAAATTGAACAAAAATATTTTTGTTTAGTTTTAGATTTTTAATTTAAATAATTATTTTACGGGGGTTTGTTAGGTCTCAAAATTATTCCATAGATTTAAAAATATTTATTAACTGTTTGATGTATTTAAAAAGAAATTTCGAGGAAACATTTTAAAAATTGGTAAGTGCAAATAAAAAATATTTTACTTGCGCAAAGATTTTTATTCTAACATTTTATTTTATTTTACTAGAAATAAAATTCCCTGTAAACATTAAAAATCTATTCAAAACGTTTGTTAAAGTTTTTTAGTAATACGAGTGATTGTGCTTATCAACCTTTTCAATGCAAAAGTATTTTAGTCATAATACTAATGGATAATACAAACATGCCTAACATAATATAACTTCATAACATAACATATTTTAACTTCAAAGCTTCTTCAAAAAAAATATTTAAAAAAATTTTTAGTTTGTACTTTCAATAATAAGTAATTTTGGTCATAAATTGGTGTTGGGGA